ATGTTTTTTTATTCTTATTCAACGCTCAATCTAGCATGACTATCCAACTATTTGCAAGGTTATACACATACTGTTACTGTGCATTGTTTGAAAAAAATGAACTTTGATAATTACGTGAATTATGGTAATTATTTTTATTATATTGTTGGAAAAAAGAAAAAGCCAAATACGAATACAAGAATATGATTAAAAAGAAATCATTTTTACAAAGTCTTCATCAGATGGAACAAGTACTGTCTATGATCGTCAGATTAATGACGATCAGAAGACGGGACTATTACTTATTACGTTAAGTTTATTTGTTTGATTAAAACATATTGATCAGTTCGTCTCTATTCATTAATATGCTTACTGCGCAGAACTCTTTGTATCATCGACTTTTGTGACACCTCCCCTATGCACATTTGGCTTACTCTCACCGGGTGCTGGTGCACGAGCCTGTTTGCCACCTGTCGTAGCGTCCGGATCTTCTCCTAGTGGAGGAGGATTGATATGTCGTTGGCTCTCTGACTCTGTAAACGAGTTACTTTTACTCTCTGGTGTTACGGCAGGAGGGTCCATCTGAAACATAAACAGTATTGCAGCGTCAATTCTAATAATGTATTAAAACTTATTGTATTCACGTGTTGTTTTGACTATGTGTTCAAACTTTTTTAATGAAATGAATTAAAAATACAAGGCTGTTTTTCGTTCTGTTTCTCTTATCAGTAATACAATACTCTTTTCTTTTCGTTTTCAAACAAAAAATTGTGAAGACAAATGATTTTTTTTTCAGTATTTCATCTACAACCGACTGTCACAGGCGGAGATGGTGATGATATTTCATAAGACAAAAAAGATTTGTTTTTGCAAATCTAATACCATATGTATCTGATTATAGTAACTCTTGTAACAGACAATGCACTCACCTTTCCAGTGTCATTCATATCAGCTGTTATCCGAAACTAAATAGTGCTGGTACATAGAAGTATTTTTTTGCCTAGAAACCGTCCAACATTTCGACATTTACCACAGCTGATTTGTCTTTTAATACCATACAATATAATAATCTTGCTGCATAGTTATGATATTGAAATTTAATTTTAAATATGTGATATGTTCATTTCCTTCTGTTTTACAGATACAGTCAACACTGTTGCCTGTATGAAGAGAAACTTTTGTATAGTTAGAGCAATTTTGCCGCTCTTGCTATACAAAAGTTTCTCTTTTTTGTACCTATACTACGTTACACATGTGTACAGGCTTTCTTTTTTCTTCGTCTACTACTAGTCATTTCAAAACAGAATGATCGACGACGTTTTTCGAATAAATTTTTAACACAAAGTAGTGGAACTGCACGCTTTTCAGGAACTAGTAGAGGAGAGCATGGGAAATAGAGCTATGAAAAACTGGGCCTCACGAAAAGATCTGCCGTGGTGTACCTTTCGACGGAAAATCCAGGAGATCGTCATTCTCCGAAAAAACGATCGATTTCAAACCGATATATAGCCGGCAGATAGCCCGGACATTACTCTTATGTCGGAAAAAGTCGCAACCACTGGAGAACCTTGATTGAAACTAGTCAAAATGTGACGTACTATACGAATGAGTTGAGTCACTGTTGAGTGATTTCAACCGGATCAGTTCATAATACGAATTCGCTAATTCATATTTACGAATCAATCTAGTTCCAAAAACCGTGAATGCGAATTCGTAAACTAACTTTACGAATTATTTGCGAATTGAGCAGCATCGTGTTTGATCTATTCTCTCTTTACGAATTCGCAAGAAGAATTCGTAAAAGTTTTTAAGAGTATCCGTACGAATTTCATACAGTTCGCATCAATTCGGTACGAATTCGCAAAATAAGGGTAAAACGCGAATTGTTGCATCATTTTCACGTTTACAAGTTGCGATTCGTTAATTCGTCTTTAGACACCTTGTTCACACATCTCATTTTGGATGAACATGCAGACGCATCTAGTTAAAAGTCGCTTTTCCATCTAGTAATCTAGGATGGTGCAACTAGTTGTGTATCGCCCGATTATAGATGAAATGTATCTAGATTTTTCTCATAGGTGATGTTTGCTTGGGCACATGTTGTTTGATTATTTGGGAAAATAATGCGGAGTGAGGGTGGATAAGTAGTATGACTGCGACGGAAAGAGAAAATGATAAATTTTTTTGTACTTGATTTAATAGCGTTATTGAATAATGTTTCTATTGCCTATCCGTCACAAGTACTTTGTATAAAGAATTTCGTCTTCACTGGAGTAATCCTCATTAAAAACTAGATTGTTCCTAACAGTTTATCAGTAATAATCGATCATATCAAAATAATGGGTGATTTCTGCACCTCATTTTCTTCTGCATATCTTATGGCTCCAAGGTTCCTTCCCGGATATGGAACGTAGAGCGTTTTCTACTCTACAAAATCTATTGTGTTGTACACTCATATCATGTTCTTTGACTAGGGTTTTCAAATTTATGTATCGTTAGTAAGTACGGAAATTAAGGTATTAACTAGTACTTACCGCAAATACTAAAATTTCCTCTAAAAGATGAAAGTTGCGGTACTTACTGATGATTCAAGAATAAATATGAAATTCAGCGAATTAGAACAAAGAGATCCTTCCCAGTTCAATCACTGCTTACTTACACTCATTAAAGTTATAGAATCAACGTTAAACACGCACACATTTTTTAACACAGCAAGAGAATTTGTTCAAAAACTAATCGAATCGATACAAGTGTTGTCTGATGAAGAAGAATGTCGTCAATTAATTGAAAATATCATTGGTGTAGTGTGTGCCAATGCAAAACCAAATTGATCGCTGATGCAACATATTACATAAACAATTTATTTGACATTTTTCAGTAAATAAATCCAAGACAAGTCTACTCGGTTTCTCCAGCTAACTCCCACACACACCCGAGATGGTTGAGACAAACGTTTTTTGTCTGAACGCATTAAAATATACATCATTAGACTCACGCTGATAACAAATCGGATACTGGAAATTTAAAGAAGCTTATTTTATTTAAATAAAACATTCTTAATCTTTAAATGTCAGTTAAATTTGAAACTAGTTTCAAGCCGCTATTCGCTAATTATAACAACAGGAAAAACGAAACGAAAACTTACAAGTCAATAGTCAACCCACTGATGATGAGTATCAGAATGACGAAGAAAGTGACACAATAACAACAGAGCCAAACAAACGTAAGAAGTTTGACAATGAAAATAGTCATGGATCAAACCTGTCGACAAGCAAACGTCAACGAGGAAGAAGTAAAGCAGTATTAGCACCGGTAATGGCAAACAATCAACAATTAAAACGAAAAAGAAACGTAAAAACAGAATTGGATGATTTTGATGTGAGTGATGATGACAGTAGTGAACTACTAGCAAGAAATATCATTTGCTCCTTTTCAGTTCTAGTTCTAAACACTTTTGGAAGAAATCTTATTCCTAATGAACTTCCCATCAAACCTGAGCCCTTAACTTTTTTTCCACCTGCTGAAGTCTGATCAATAACTGAAAAATCCCCGATGATTACCTCAAAAGGGTACTCCCATAAGAAGTGACTACCTTGTTTTCGAACCATGCCAGACAATTTGTCTCTTGCAAAAACTTGAGTAGGAAATGAAGCAACGCTTATTAAGACATGAAATACCTCAGTGTATCTCTATCGCTAATGGGAAGCCTCACCTGGAGCGAATAATAATGATGAATGTTTATTGTCCTTTCATCAAACTAGATGCGAAAATGTAATAGTAATAGCCCTACAGACTACAGAATAAAACAGGTAAGATAGATAAGTATTTTTATGAAATTCGTTCGGAAACCTTTCTTTGACGGTTTCCGAAAATGAAACTATATGAAACGGATAAGCGTTTTCGAGAGCTCGAAAACCTTTTTCTGGCGGTTTCCGAGGAATAAGTTGAACGCGAAGAAAATGGGTTTCCGGAGCAGAAAAGGGTTTAGGAGCACGCGGAAACGGATATGCGTTTCATATAGTTTCATTTTCGGAAACCCGTTAAGCGTTTCCGAGAATACGATTTCTTTTTAGAGTGCAGGCTGTATGATATTTTCTCCGAATGTGACAAAGACAGACCAATGACAATTTCAAAAGTTTGTAAACATTTTGACGTTGATAAGAGTGATGAGAACAAGAACACGGTTGTGAAATTAATGGTTACACTTACAAAAGTAAAGCTCAATTTGATGCAGGGCGTAGGAAAAATAATGAACAGAGAGTAAAAGACTTCACACAAGTCGTTTTTAATAAAAGAGACTTAAAGCAGCGGTCGAAATCGCCTTTCCACCAGAATCAACCCATCGACTCATAGTTTTTGTGACGCTTTTAGACTATCAAACCGAAAATTTATGTTGCGCAGGTATGATCGTCCTTCCATCAAGGCCAATGCTTGTCGCACGATTGTCGATTGTTCTTATTTACATATACACACTTACACACACACACACACTCAGCGTGACAATAAGTCCCGACCATCAACACAGGCAAAGTGGTTCGATTTTAGCCTTTTTAAGTAACTTAACAATGAATTCTCGGTGCACTTTGTTAATTCAAATCAGTTAGTTTTCGTGCTCGTCCTTTTTGCGCTCGCTTTTTAGTCCGTGGTGGTCAGAAGAAAAATTATGTTAACAACACTCGCAAAAAACCGTTGAAACGAATTGCCGCTCTGGAATCTGCAGCAGTTTAGGGACTTGGCTAATACGAAACAAAAAAAGGAGCCAGGTGGTGGTGGTGGTGGATCCTAAGCAGAATACGAGCTTTTACTCAGTCTTATTGAAGTCGGCATGTGAAATAACCTATAAAAGGAGTTACCTTGTATTTTCCTAACAAAGGGGGTTTCCCGAAATTCAGCTCCCTGAAAAACCTACTGCAACGTTCTGTAATTATTCATTTTGTATGGATATAAAACTTGACTATATTCAGGATTGTGATAATCTATATAAAGAGAAAAAATAACTACTTCAAAGTACACGTGTTCGTAGTTGCCATAGTATTCAACCCGCAACATTTGTGCTCACTAAATTCTTCTAACTTATGTCCAATATAGGAAGCTCCTTGTTTTTCTTGTTTTTTATACGTGAGCAAAAATAGTTGGAAGACAATTTTTTTAAGCGCTGAATAGGTCGTTCGATGTTCTACAAAACTGGCTCTTGAAACTTTCCAGCTGGATAGATACTTTTGCAGGAAATTCGAGCTTTATCACAAGTTCTCAAAACTTAGGGTCTTTTTATGTCACGCCATTACGCACTGAAGAAGCCTTTCTGAAAGCTCAAGACTTGGACAGAAAAACTTAATTTCTACACTATAAGTAGAGTAAAGTGAGCTGCGTTGAATGGCGCTAGAATGGTTTAGAAATTAGTCCAAATTTTTGTGCTAAATGTTAAACAACAGCTTTTTTCTTTAATTCACATTTAGGAAGAGAAGTAGTAACTTTTTTTAATGCTTTCGGAAGCCCTTGTTGCAAGGATATGCACCGCAAAACGTTGCTACGGATTCTAAGCACGCAAAACATATCTCATAAAAACTGTTGCAACAAAAGTT